TCTGGCTGAAGTTCTGCCTTTACAGTCTTCTTCCACATCTTTTTAACTTGGTGATCCGCGCGTTCTCGAGCTCAGATGCGCTACTACATTTTCTAAGGATAGAGTCTTGTGAATATAGTGTCGCTGCTGTTTACCGTAGGTGGTCAGTTTGCGCAATTCATATTCTCCAGTCTCGGGAACACCGTGTACAAGGATGGTCCTAGCCTCGGATTCCTTGCGGTCTTCTTTCAAATTGTGTCACGCCTATTTACCCTCGCTTCGTAGCACATTCGGGAAAATGCGAATGGAACATGACCCATTCCGGAAACCAGTCTTCAATATCACAGTTGCTTAGCCTACGTGAACGAAAGTCGATACAACTCGAAGAAGTCTCGCCTCACTTTAGTGCTTTGAGTTTGGGTGCCCCTGTAACGCGCGTCAAATTGATGGGATGTATTAGTACAACAAGGATGTCAGCTTTGAAGCTCTACTGGTTCACGTCCTCGGGTTGCTGTCTTTTTAACTAATCCGACCTTGATTCTGGAATGTTGGCACAGAGTACCAACGACACATTATGTGATCACTTAATGACCATTTTGGCAGTCTCAGTTGTGCTTGACCGCCCCGATGGTCTGTATGCAACCGGTGGAGGCAGGGTAAGCGCACATTCGTCTTCTCCATTCATTTTGGGTCCAGTCGAAGTACCTGAAGTTCTTAATTTTTAGGTGCCTTTGACAGCAACCCCGACTAGTGTCGACGTTCTTGTGGAATTTTGGCAAAGCATGGTGGATGGATGACATCCTAGCAGTACTTATTCCAGTCTGACTTCTGTGGTCGGTTCAAGCCTAGCTAGGCCACTGGTGGTACTGATGTTTAAAACCGCAGTTAACGCAGTTTTAACGCCATGCCCGGGGTGTAATTTCAGCTTTGCAATGGAGCCTAATATGTAGAACAAAGATTTACTCGTTGTTACGCGTTCTAATGAAGCGATTTTGGTCTTCCACATTTGTTCGCTCCTTGCTACCATTCATTCGTGTTTCTGAGATAGTTCATGTACAATCATTACCATTTTGGATGACCTTACACTCTGCACAGTGCCACAGAGAATTTGGTCTACAATTGTGTAGTTTCATCTGGGTTACTGTAAGCTTAACAATCCTAAGATGAGTCTTCCTGTGGCAACTGGGTCACTAGATTACTGTTTGTACATTTTTCTGATATGAAGGAAGGCCATATACTACTTCAGTTGCTTAACTTCTTTTGATTGGTCGTTACAACTCACTACACGTCGTGTCAGTCGATCAATGCTTTTCAGGTCTGTGCCTTGGTTCGCGTGACTGTCTGTCCCTACGCAATGCATTGGCTTAATTTTCAAAGTCAGTACGTCCATAGCACTTTGCGGTGTGTCGTACGGCTAGGGCAGCAGGTTAAGCGGCTGCGTAGATTCGCTGGGAACTCGCTCTGAAGCGTGAAAGCGCGTGGGAGTGAAAAAGGCACAAGATGTCGGATGGCTACTTCACTTATCGGTAGCCAGCTAGGGTGGGTGACTCGTCGTATAGACTCAGGAGTTGGCGCTTGTTTGAGACCACAAATGTTAGTGTGTGGCTTGAGATTGGAAAAGTTAGCGCATGTGTTTTTTCGGGACGGGTGCGCCAACTGCAACGTGGAGGCAAATGGTAATCGGTACAAGCTAGATCAGAAAGATGGAGTGCACTAAATAGCGCTGGTTTATCTGGGTCGAATTAGTTTAGGCATGCCTGGGAGATGAGAATTATGACTAAATCCGACCTGAGTAGGACGCCGGAGAGAATTCGGCCGCAAGGCGAGTGTGTGTGTGCTACAGCATTCATAATTATAGGTATATTTCACTTTATGTGTGAAGCTGCGGTCATAGTTAACATAAATCATGTATGTACACGTAGTACCGTGCTATTGTATGAGTAATATTAACTTGTGGGAAATAAAAAACCAACAGTATATTCCTAGTCGGTGAGAGGTGCAGTCAAACTGGATATTAGGATTCTTGGTGTGCAGCAGAATCACAAAGGACAGATGTTTTGTTTTCGAAATTCCAAAGCAGTTCTGCAAATATTTTTGGCGGACATGGCTAACTGATCGGGTAAATCTTTCGGGAAGGTTGAGAGGTTGTCAAAACAAATCTATCCACATATATAAGTAAAGTAATATGGCCATCCATGGAACCGTCTCCGGGAGACCTGCTTCCATGCGGATTATACCCTCGCTGGGTTTCCGCCGCACCCCCATGTCACATCAGGCCTTGTGCTGGTGTGGCTTCTAAAGCAAGTAAAGCATCACCTATGTAACTATTCTTTAGGGCTGTTTTTCAATGTAGATAGTGTAGACAGCCAAGCCACCTTGCCCATTCCATCAGCTGATTTTTCTGATCAGGTAGTAATTTATCACGGATTCTTCTTGCCTAATTGAGTATGTATATGTATGTATATACTGGGGAGTAGAGTGAAACATTCAGTTCACATGACACAAGAGACATGGCTGCTTGTCTTTCCACTTTTTTCATGTGGACACACTTATCAGGACCATAATTGAGGGGCTCAATATCGTAGGCACCATCTCGCTTGCCCGTTGGTCTGGGTCCTGATCTGTCGGCTCCAAAGTTGCTTTACGTCTATCAAGGTCTTCTGGTAGTTTGGATAGAAAATTGTGCTCTGTAAAATGAAAAGGTGTATTGACAAGAAATAAATCGTTTAAGTTATAGAGACTGTTAGTTGATGTACGGCTGCCCGGATGCCGCGCTTGTCAACATCCGCATCATATTGCGGACGCAGTTGGTGCAGTCCAGCTGGGTAACCATCCTAACGCTCTCTTGTATTACAGCACTTAGCGCCTGCTTAGGTGTCGGGTTAGTCAGAAGGGGTCTCACCGACGCCTTCAACTTCGAAAACATGCTCCACAGGGTTCAGCATGTAGGAGTTAGTTTGACTGGAATTTCAGCTGATAATTGGAGTCCAGGATCCTCCGTAGGACATCTGGCATGTGAATGTGCACGTTGTCCATGATGAGCATTGCATCATTCAGTTCTACTCTGCCCCGTAGCCGCACTACAATATCCTCGATGCAAATGGAGAACTGAGCACCATGGTAGGTACCATCGCTGATCATTTTGAGGTGGACTATCCATTGGATATTCATTGCCACATCCAGCGTCACCCTGCAGCCACTGGTTGCTGGCACGAGAACGTTTGCGCGCATCCACATCCGTTAGCTAACCTACGTACGCCGCAGATAGGGATTGAACCAGATCTCATCTATCAAGGTACATTTGCTCTTGTCATGCGGCGCGTGCACCGAGAAGTCCAAAGAGTAGGCCAGCCGACTTGCTATGGTCGGGGCACGGTTGACACCGTGTAACTCGTGGTGGCATTTCTTCACCGTGAGGTTTAGCCTCCTAAGTGTGTTAAATACCGTAGACACAGACAGATGGATCCTGTTCTCTCTTAGCAGCTGCTGAAGCTGCATCAAAACATCTTGAGAAGGCCTTTCAGCGCTCTATTCAACGCGCTGCATGACATCGAGAGTTCGCTTATCCATGTTGTTTCTTCCACATTTGCGCTGAGTAATGGTACCCACTTGCGTATAGGCATGGAGGATATATATTCTTTCCTTGCACTGCTCTCGTTAATATCGGCGAATTCAGCAGCTTAGTGCCTAGTCTTGCTGTCGACGAAAACAAGCTTGGTGAGGATGTCGTTCTGTGCCCATAACGTTCCTTTGTACGGTCGCCTTCTCGGCGCTACGCTCTCTCATCCTGTGTAGCTCATCTTTGTCGTTTCATACACGCATGTGTCGCAGTAGTCGTGCAGCTGCGTAGGTTCGCCCACACACACACACACACACACACACACAAAATACGAGGCCACTACATGGCCAGGGGAAATCTTTGACCGAGCTGGCACTTGTGATCAAGAGAGGGGCTCGCACAAGCGCCCGCTGCCCGGTTGCATTATTGTGACCAAAATGTGATTTGAACATTGCCCGATCGCCTTACTCCTCATTTATTGCTGAAAACTTTATGAGTTTATGACAAGAATAAGGTGTAAAACTTTCTGCGAAACGTCTCATGTGTTTCGCAAAACATTCAATTTGTTTAGCAACACGCTCAGTTTGGCTTGCGGAACGTCCAAAGGGGTTTGCAAAACGTCTGATTTAAAGTGGAAATGGTGTATATTGGTTTGTTCATCTATTTGACAGAGCTTCGATTTTTCTTAGCATATATTTTCAACTGTCTGCTTCTGTCCAACGGTTCAGTCGTTTTGCTGATCCATGCAAGTTTTTCTCTTAATGGTTCTATTTTGTTTCTTGCCGTATTCTTTAGTTTTCCTTAACTAGCTATTTTGTAGAGAAATCGTTTTGCTGCGCCTCTGTACTTTATAAGTTGCACGAATTAAATCAATCGCCAAGGTTGTGGGCAACCAGATTCTGCGCCCACCATCGGGATCCCAAAGAGCGGTTCCTGTTCACATGCTGTATTATATGCCTCATCTTATAAACAATGCGTTAAGCTTCTTGCTTCCTTGTTAGCATTTTTTCCTAGTATCTAATGGTTTCTTTGTAATTTAGCAACTTGCCTATAAATGAAGCAAACCGAAAGTACAGTCATGTTGTGGATGTGCTGTTGGAGTGGACGAGCAACATTATCGAAATGCTCCCCCACTGCTTCCGATAAACTTTGTTTCTTAATCAGTGTGTTACTTTTTACTTTTACTTATCGTTGCTTATCTGAAAGATTTTCGCAACTTGAGCTTACTTCCGTTACCTAAGTTTTTGTAAACAAATTGCGCTCTGGTTTGTAGCCAAGTTAGCATTGTAAAAGTTAACGTTAAAGGTTTTTATTCATTTTTAAACTTTGGTGTGACGCACTGCGATGAGTCAAAAGATGACAGTTCCACCAACGATTCAGGGGGAGATGCTGGGCCCGATTGAAATCCACAAGCCAACCGTTGTTGCCATAATTAAATCGCAACCTGTTTTTCCTTTTTTAGGTCTTCAAACAAGCCATTCTAACGACCTGGGACAGTTTAATGTATGAGGAATTCACGGACGACGTGCGGAGAGCTTGGGCACACTTGCTAGACTGTATTATCCATACGATGTGTGAAGGTTGTCTGGTTTTCGAGGAGGAAGAGGACAAAATGATTTGTAGCGGTCAATTGCCTCATCGCGCTTCAGACAGTCAGCTGGAACAGTTCTCGTTCACTCGCAGGCGAAGTGGGCGACCCAGCGTTGTGAATATGACTCACGAAGAACTACTGCGATTTTATTCTAATTGGAAATGAGCAATTTTGTAATACATTCGATTGTAGATATGAAACAACTTTTCCCCACGTCAAGCGAACAAGAATGGCAGAAAAACTGAGCCTTCTTAACTAATGCATTATCGTGTGGGCACTGTATTAACCTAAGATTGGTCACCACAGAACCATCAGGACATGCTGCTGCTATAAGCAGATATTGCGATATTTGTACTCATCAGAATGCGGTTAAGAGCGCCAAATTAACCTGCGTCCCTTTGAATAGTGGGCGGCGCTATCTCACATCTATTAACTTAGTCACGATGATACGTTAACGTCCCCCGTAGTTCAATGGTCTTCACCGCAGGCTTGCAACAGTTGTTTTGTGCGTTCAAACATCACAAGGGTCAGATGGAATGCGCACAACTGACGATTCTTGTAAGGATGAAAGAGCCGCAAAGCCCTTTTCCGGGTATGTGATGGCTGTCTGACTGAGCCTGGCTGTGATGAATTTCTACCAACAAATAATTGTCCCAACCATTTGTAAGACGAATGTTATTTCTAGTCGGCTGACGTTGATCGAAGACCAGCGAATTTTTGTCTGAGTGGTCCACACAAGATGAGGAAAAGAAAACAAGCTGCAGCTTACTGTTAGTAACCACTGATCGTGATGCTGAATCTTTGTAGGCGATCTAGCTCTGGTTTCCAGGTAAATACTAAACGAGTTGAACAAGCTGGAAAGCTTTTCCCGCAATGATACAGTTGGACAGCTAACCTATGACATCCTAGTTAGTCACCTACCGAAATGCTGTTAAATGTGAGGTAGGATTTTCCACATTTGACAGAGTTTGACATAACTAGAGTGATTAGTAAGTTCGATGAATTTTGTACAATAGGGACAAGAACCTTACCAGGGTTACCTACTTTGTTTGAACGAAGCAGTTAACAGACACACAACTGCCGTATCTCTCGGCAAGGACGCGGAAGTTTTTGATTTCCTAGGTGATCTGTTGCTAAGAGACTGGCTCTTTCTTAACATCCATAAGGAAGGCATAATCCAAAACCGAAAATTCGTTGCCTAGCCAATACAAAAGTCCGTAGCCATACGGATCATTCACACAGTTCTTTGCTCTTGAATTCGACACGCGCTGATTGCTGTCACTCAAAGAGGTATACGGCACGTCCTCCTCTGAGTCGCTGCCTTCTTACTCTTCTAGTCGGTTCTCCAATAGTTTACCGACGATTTAATCAACAGTTGTCAGAGCTGGGGAACGTTCCACATCGTGGACAATGGCGACGATCTGTTCCGCATTTCTGACAGGGCTTGTGCAAGTGTTGCTCTCATCCTCAGGAATGACGGCGTTATCAAAAGGTGCATCGGATAAGAGCCGACTGAAGCCAGTTTGCCGAATGCAACCTATTAGTGTTGCGCCGGTAAACAGTCTCCGACATTTTGCAACGAGCACAGAAATCTTGGCGCTGAACTCCACCGCCGAAGATTTGCCAGACAACACGTAATGTTCGGTATAATAAAGAATTTGGTCCCAAATTTTCTTTCTGTAACGTATTTTCGTATTCATAATCACACCTTGACCTATGGATTGAAGGAAGATGGTCGTAATTGCCGGTAAAACGCCATCCGCATTATTTTTCAGGCGTTCTTCCTGTGGATGCGCTGTGCAATTATCCAAGAGCAACATAATTTTTCGGCCACTTTGGTCTAGCTCCTTGTCCTATTCGAGGACCCACTCGGTGAAAAGTCCATTCATCAACCATAACTTGTTGTTACTTCTACAAGTTAAGGGAAGTATGTCCATGTTCACGCCATTAAAACATCGTGGATTGTACTTCGTCCAATGACAACAAGTTTCCTTTTATCAGTACCTGACATATTCGCGCAGCAAAGGAGAATGGTGCCGTTCACGGGTTTTCCGATCCGCTGAGCATGTTGGCAGAAAAACACAAGCAGCCCTCTGGAGCTGCTCGGTAAAATATCTGTTTCATCTGTATTGTACAAGTTGTCATCATCAAATGCAGTTGAATGTTCAGGCAGTTATTCTTTTAGCCAATTTTCACAGACGGCTTTGTCCCCGGAACTCTTTTCGCCATGCGCACGTTTACACACAATTTGCTTCAATTCTTCTTACTTTGCGACCATTCTTCTCTGACAGCAAAGGCTTTTTCAATCCTTTGCCCGAATTCTGCTGTCTTTTTCTTCAGAAGCGGGCGCGTAACTATTTGGTGGTACTCACGAACCGATGTCATCCAGTCTTTCAATGCAATTTCAGCTTCTACATCCTTTCCAAATTGCTTCCTTTTCTGACAGCTTGCAGTGCCATGCGACAAATTCTGCCGGACTTTCTTTACGCTAGCAAGCAACCTGGCTAGGTTACGATGAGAAATGTGTAAATCATGTGACAATTTGGCCTGCTAAGTTTCTAGTGAAAATTTTTTAATTTGTTTAAAACGTCTAACTATTCTGTCAAGGACGAATACTTTCTGTTACTGGCCATGGTTGCGTCTAACCAATGGAGTACTGACAAATGTGGAGCGGAAAGATTACCTGACTGCTTAGTTATAGAGTTTTGTATAGCGCCGAGGGTTTGACCACAGCCTCCTGTACATTTATCTTGCTCGTATATTGAGTAAAGCAGTCAATCTTTTTTGATCTACCAATAACGCCGCTGACAACTTTATTGTTCTTGACTCGATCCGACTGGCTTGCTGTGGGCAAATAAGCGTTGGGACAACCCGGGCAATGGGAATTTAGGCGGTGCAAATTTAGCATATATATAAAATAGGAATTTGTATTCGGAAATACTGGACAATAAAGCTCGGTGGGTTATCAACTGAGAAGGCAATAAGGCGGGTTCGGTTGTATTACCGTGTCAAATACATTTGGTTAACCATTTGTGTCCTGAATTAATACATCCATAGCTCGACGTGAACAACAAATCTTTAATCCATGCACTGTAGTGTAAAGTATTGGAGTTCTGGCTATTACATAAATTTTGTGAGAAGGCTATTGTGCGTATCCTCTCTAGCACCGACAGGATTGACCCTTGCTCTGAAGCAGTATGTCAATTAAAACAATGTGGTACTTATAAGTACCGCCAAGACACAAACTGTTAAGGGATCTTTTGTAAACTAGACACAAAGCTGCAATAAAGTCGACCTCCGTCAGGTAGTAAAATCGTCCCATTCAATTATGGATAGAACGCCAGTAACCAAATAAAATTCCTTACGTGAGGCGACGAACAAAGTTTCGCTCGTACTTAACCCTGACCGACGCGTAAGATATTCGCCGGAACCGTACAACCCACGTAAGCTAGACGGAGGAACACCCTGCCAAACCCCCGGAAACGTAGAAACGATTAGCCGTACACACACAACTACCGTCGACTAACGATTAAAACAAAGTGTTGACGCATTAACCCAGTTGCCAGCATAACCGAGAAAGTAGTGAGACATTTGTAACGCTTAGGACTATGCAATGGCAAGTAAAGACAAGAGCCCATCAGCAAAATGATTACCGATATTAATTTACGCACCGTAAATTGCAGCACATTCCCCGCCTTGAGAAAACCCCGAATTATGCTAACGTCTCTCCGGATATAAAGTAGGATCTCACTAAATGCACCGACGCACACTACTGCGGTGTCTCTCTACCACCAATTCCACAGCGCTACATGATTCTCCGCGACGAAACGCAGACTATACACATGTGAACGATCGATACATCCTGGTCTGTTTTTTGCGTTCATAGATTTCCTAGAAATCTGGATGCCTGTGGGCTCTGCACTGACCGAGGTTAAGCCGTAGCACTAAAGTAACCGTTACGTACGGGGTCTATTGTGGCAAACATTGGACATCATCTTGTCGGACGAACGTACACGTGATCCACAACTGTCGCACACTTGAGCAATAAGTTTTCGATGTGCTCGTATTTGTATCAATGGTGTTGTTAAAACACAGTTAGAATGGGTACGCCGGTAGACTAAAAACCAGCTTCCATAGAACCGCTGAAGGAAAAAAGGCACCTCTTTCAACTAGGCCGTTCACATTAGGAATAATATCGACTCGGTTGAGTAGTATTTTCTCGCTTTTGTATTTTACGTTCTTGATTAGTGAGCCAAGTTCTATCTGGAATTTTCCTCACCCACATAGCCTATGATACTTAAAGTTTGCCCGGTTGTTTCCGTTCAGTTCAGTGCAGATGATAAAGCATGATCCTGAGCACCAAACTGCCGTGGATGCGGTTGCCATGACTGTCGTCTCCAGCTTGATAAGTAAATGTTATTAGACTTAAAGATTGTATTAACAGAACGAGGGGAGTGGAGCTAATTGCATTGAAGTATGAACAGTTAAACGCAAGTGAGCGAATTCAGGAGCAGCACTGACACCGACAATGCGTCACGTCCTTTAGAGTTTCTAACCATTGGTTTGGACTAACACGAGGCCCCCATCCACGAAAACAGCATGTACCTTCCTGAACAAGCCTCTCGATCAAGTTCTTCATACCCCTATGTCACGGTATCCATTGAACACCCCGTGATTTCTCCCAATTTGCTGCAGCGACGGCGTATGATGCACGCCGAGAAGGCGGTCAACTGGTGTACGGAGTACATGAGTTAACCAACCTTAGCGACTTAACTTCAACAGACACTGAATTGACGCGCCAGAGGGTTTCTTGTCAAAATCCAACTGGCGGACCTCAGCATTACTCCCCTGTGTTCCGACAAGGTCGAAACACGGAAATGGTGAGCTGACAAAAGAATTGTCTCCACCACGTCTGCAGACTGAAGTGCCATGTGATTTAATCTTGGTTCGCCACAGAGAGCTGAGTTAGCGTGGCGGACAATGCGAACCAAATTGGCCGGTTTAGGTAGGGTTCCCATTTCCAGACATACATGTTCCCACTGTTTCAGATTGTCCGATAAATTGCACGTGATTGAGCTTGCGTTCGACTCAGGCACATTAAAACATATTATCTTTAGCGAGTAAGGCTACATGTTAGTATTCACAATTAGAAAGAAGGGTGTGCTTTCGTTCTCTGGCCGTGTGATAATCGGTTTTCT